CGAATCCAACATACACACACATACACACACGCCCACACATACACGGAAACTAACGCCCTTGACCCCGTTTTGGGGTCAACCTTGAACTCCGCGATTTTCATCTTAAAGCTTGTATTTTTGAGAAACCGATTAAACTGACTTGACAAAGGACTTCCAAGAAGGTCGAAACGCTGTCACCGAAATCTTGTGTTTTGGTATTCACGTTGTGGCTAAAACAAACCTGATTCTATTGTTACCATGAGCACAACGCTCAAATTTTTCGAAATGATCCGTAACACCTATGGATTATTAACTGTTTACTCTATTCTATCTAGCATCGCTAAGTTAGTGATCATAGACAAAGCTCCCCTTATTTGCAGACGGGTTTACAGCAAACAACTTCGTGAAGAATAAAAACATTGTTAGTGAGTAAAAAATGGAAGTAAATAAATCTGTGATTGATTTTTGTTAGAGCGACTTTTGTGCGGCAGAACTTTGTAGAAAAGTGCGAAGTTTTGTGGTTTCTTTCTATCAGTAATGAACTGAAGATCAGTACCTGATACGCAGTAAACGAATATGAGATGTAGGTGACCGGGTAAGTAAAAGGCAAGCTGTAATCTATTGTGATATTGTTTGGTGATTGCAGGTCACACTGAGTTTCAGTTCAGTTTGTAGAACAATTAAACATTCACATTTGTGCTGTCTTTTGGCTGCCCATTTGTATGAATAATAGGAGAAAGACTGGAAAGTTGAAATTACAGTCGAATAGAAATTGAGGAATTTCAGTGAACCCAAGTTGTAAAGAAATTGGGAAGATGCAAGAACGCCACTGTTTACGACACTCAGCCATATCACTCAGTATCTCTAACCATCGGTTACGACCATCGCGAGGTCCCTTGCCAGAGAACCTAACGGAACCTCTGTGACCGCGTCCCTTCGTTAGGGTTTTCACATCCCCTTGTGAGGTCTTAGCTTGACCACCAATGACTACTTGCCGGCATCGGCGAACATCGCTCGCTGTGCAACCTAATTGGTGACATGCATACCACATGCTCCAACCACAGTAATCCATAGAGGTCAACCATTTGCTCCAGTGGGCGTCCGCGGTTGCCTAAAACTCTGCTCCTGACCTCAACATTGCTCGTCCGACTGCCCCACCAGATTCGTGCAATGCTGCGCAGACAGCGATGTTCAAACACCAATGAGAGAAAAATTCGAGTCTAGTGCTTCCAAGTGAATGGTTAACTGGATGACCTGAGGAAGGTGTGTGCAAATGAAGACCGAAGCATAGCCGGTTCCAATCAATATCAATCCTCCCACACCGCTAATCACAAGCAACTGTGAGTTAAATGCTTCTTTGTGTGTGACAAATGAAACTTTTTGTTGATCCGGAAACTTCCCACTCAGTCCTCGTATTTTCACATATATTTATCTTAGGGAAAGAACACGTTATGTTTGGTATTGATTATTGAAATCGTTTCATCTATTTGTTTCAGGTAATAATGTTTTTATTTCCACTGTGTGCATTTGTATGCCCTCCAGTGGATGGTCGTTGGTGTAGAATCTGTTTGCAGCAAAAAAGAAATAACTACTAACCACTTCGGAAGACGTCATCTCGAGCCGATAGAATCCAAGCGGACATGAGCGTATCTGGTCACCGTTCCTTTGACGACTGTGTTCACTGAAATGATGAATTTATTAAGTGCAGTTAGAATAAAGGGATCGTCGCTTTGATTTGTTTTTTTTTCTTACAACTCGATATGTGTGATGACATAGATACTGTTCGATGCAAATAAATTGCCGTAGTGAGAAATCTTTTGCGTGGTTCACTCTAATTCAATTCATAAGTGTAATGCTAAGCCAATTTTCGAATAAAGCTGCCCTGTGAGTATCCCAGTCATGAACGTACTAAATTCTACCAAACAAAATCACTAGTGGTCTGCGTATGATAGTTGAAATAGATAGCAATCAGGAACATGATACAGGAAGTGTAAACTGTGGCCTGGGAAAATGAAGCCGGTTTACCTCATCCCCTTTCGTTTAACCTTGAGAATCGATCTGCCCACCTACGTTTGTAGTGTCTTACTATTCTATCCACTTTTATATCACATGATTGTACAGCTTGTTTTAATATGTACAATGTAGACGATAAAAGTTGTGGTTCAACAATGAGCGGTCAAGTTAAGTAATGCTTCAAACAATCATGCTTGAAAATACGGTAGGTAGCTTGTAATTACCGAGCGTACTTTTGAGTGTTCTATTCTCGGAAGGAGGATCAGCGAATGTTTAAGATATGGTGTAAACAGATTGTACGTTCAAGAATAAGATCGGAATCCCTCATTTCAGTTCTTAAATACGATTCTGATAATCATTTTCCAGACCATGAATGAATGACATAAAACGTTGCTTCGGGTTTTGCTTACCCAAAAACCTCGACATTTTCTAAACTGGAACACCAACCTTGGATCGCGAAGTACGCCACCAAGCGTCCATCAATTTCATCAACTTCTTGTATGATTTCTTCGTCTGGGACAAATAAATCAGGACACTTGTTGAACCATGGTGATAACATTAATAGACAGTGTGAGGATAAATAAGAGTCAGGAGTTCAAATCATGCAGATACACTACTGATGAACTTTAATAAGAGTGAAACTCGCGTCTATTGCTTCCGATTTTATGGTTGGCTGGAGTAGTTGATAATATGCGCGTGGAGGTGAAGTCTGACAGGTGATCAGTTCTAATCAATAAATATTCTCATCTCATTTAATGTATGTCCGAATAATTTCACATACCTATTAATTTTCAGAAACTATTGACCGCGATCCTGCCTTATTTATCATCAGTTCAATGGGGTCAGGTTAAACCTCTACTTAAGAGCAGATTAGGGATGATTTTGCTTTACTGAAGAGCTGTATTTCTTCACTGGTATGTCCTCAAACTTCATTGGTCATATGAATGTAACTACCCCACTAAAAATGATAGTCATGTGATTACACCGTCTGTTCTAATAATGACCCACATTTAGTGTGGTTGAGAGCTTCGAAAGACCTGGCAATAGAGAATTGTAGTGGATCAGCCATTCACCTGCATAGACTTTTCTCATTACACACTTTGGTGTGATGAACAGCAGACGGGATGGAACCCCATAACCACGAGGACCTACTGTTCAGTGATGGAAACCGGTAACCTAAGCCCCGGGACTTGGAGTGGTAAACCAGATAAGGCCCCGATAGGTTTGGTGTGGTATTGAACCGGACGACAACAGAGCTGCCTACCATCAAAGTCGGGTGGGGGTGGCGGGGCTCGAACCACGGACCATGGGATCCAAAGCACGCCGGTGACAGCGACTAAACCACTGCACCACCACCACCACCCGTAGATCTACACCTCTCGGGATCAGTGTAATCGATGGCTGAGTTTCGCGCACCTCAGCATTCGTGCATCTCTGTATTTTCAGATTGATACTATTTCCGAAAGGTTCCGGTCCTCCCTCTGCTTTATTTAAACTGCCGAAAAACAACAACCAGTAAACATCACGAAAGAACACCGGTGATTATTGTAATAGCCAGTGACTAAAATGGCACAGAACGGCCAACGGACTGTAGAAAAGAAAAAATAAGTCCAGTCAACGTCTTGCGTTTAACATAACACATGGATGAGCTTACGATAAAGGAGAGCAACATTTGGTTTAACCTTCAGTCTAAGCAAATATATTATTACCATAGCCCTTACACATGTGTATTTGAATAACAATCATGTAACAGACAATCACTGAACAAACCCAGAAGTCAAATGGGTTTGATTAAACAGGCAACCATTCAGCTGGTAGACGTATTATCTTTAGAAAGAAAGCTCGATTTGTGATTTAGTTTTACATCAAGAGTAGGATGCACTGAGTTATCATTGCGTAAAACCAAGTTACCGAAACACCGTCGCTTCACCACCTAATGTAGGTCACGGACCACAAATCACTGTAAAGCTCAGCAAGCACAATCCGCAGACGCAATTTGACATTAAGTACCTATTCTGTCGAGGATTAATCTTCTGTTTGACTGACAGTGAGTATAAATATACTGTCATTCTTCCCTTTTCATTTTACCTCTGTTTATTAAATATGCAAAGATACAACTTTCAGGAAGCGGGAAGTGACCACTCAAAAGACTGCCGTACAACAAAAAATAGAGGAGACAGGCGGTGGTGTTTGGATTCGAACGAACGTCCTCCTCCGAGGTGATAATTCGGTGTCGTTGCCAACAGGCCACCACCGCCCTGTTCCCGTGAAATGATGCATACTCGAGTTATTTAAGAATACCAGACATGCCCTTTCACTCACTGGAGAAGAAATCGTGCATATGTTTCAGGTCGATTCATACATCTGTATTCTCTACAGGACATCAGTTCGGGAACTCAGGATATACCGAGCTACGGCAAACCGATTTGTCACTGTTATTTGAATCGTTCATATGTACATTATGCCTGCGTTCACCGCCGCCGATAAATCCTGAATAGCCGGTCACAGCTAGCAGACGGTCAGTGAGAGAGAAAAAATATATCTAGAACGGTTTCAGATGGATCCGAGGCTATAAATATGTACAAACTGATAAGAAAAAGTTTCCCAGGATAACTAAATCAACGGAAGACAATAAAAGCAGTTAAGTGGTTAGAATCCACAGCTCAGTTTGATATTTATTTTTCTATTGGATCAATTATTTTGTTACGCATTTTCATGTTCCGCTTTCATTAAAACATCCTTGTAAACTAAAAGAGGTCCTACACACTTCCGCCTGCGTTTCATTTACTTTCCTATGGAGTTAAAAATCGCGCGCCTAGGATTCACGCAGTATTATACTTTTAAAAAGCTCCACCAATCAATTCACATGCATAATAATCTCCTAAGATTTGTAGTTGTCCTAATTTCTCTTGTGTATTAAACACTGACCATCACCTAATCGTCTTGAATAGTGTGTTACGCTAAAATTCACACCAGACTGGCTTACCAGAATCTTTGTCATAGCGACTATACACCGGGATATCCTTCTGTGAGCAGCCGCTGAAAATTTCACCGCGATCTCGGGAGTCAAGTTTCGAGTAATGAATAATAATTTCATGAGATTCCACCAACCCCGATAAAGTCGGTCGGGTACTTGACAGAACACAGGTGAATATAAAGTGCTTCGTAGGAAATTTGGAACACGAGATAGACTCGTCAGTATTTTGTATGCAGTTTATCGTGATAGATAGACAGAAAAAAATGATTATTAGAATTTTCCCTATTCACGACAGATAGAAAACTTACAGTAAGTGATGAATATGCAATGCGTTGTTTTGCGTATGCATCACAACACAGGTGGAGTGCATTGAGCGATCAATCGTGCAAAAAGTAAGCGCAAATGGATACAGCAGTATGCTGATGATACAAAATAATACAGTACACATATTACTTGCAGTTAAGTTATTGAACTCATTATATTTATAGTGATATTTCGATAACTCTGTTCTCAGCTCTGTTCGCATCATTTATTGCCGCACTACTGAATCCACCAATCAACTCCAGGATATCTTTTGCATTATTCAATATCGTGAGAATCGCCGAACGGCTCGTCGAGTGTGCATCAAACATACTACTTATCTTAAATATTGGTAGTATTTCACTGTGGAAGCTGTAACAGTGGTAGTACTAGTGATCACCAGTTAGACTGAGCTATTGGAAGCTGATTTTAAAGAGTAATAGTCCGTTAGAGGGTCATTTGAACGGTGTATTCCTTAAACAAAATGCATTGAAGCATGTGAGGAAATGCGAAAACCATAGTTATGAAACCTATGCATAGAAGGAAAGCAAACCGCAAACAAGGCTTCGTGAATTACGATAAACGACAGATACCAGAAGAGTTTTATTTTTGAGGCCCTGCAATAAAATTCGGGACCGTAGACTGGAATGGTAAATGTTTTCGCTAATAAGGTTATCTGCTAAAGTTTGTACAAGAACATATAAACACATACGTGTGTAGTATTTCATACGATAAGGCTACGCATCCGGTTGTTCATAATCGATATATGCGTTCTTACCTCGTCGGTCAACCAGGAAACAGGTAGGGAGGTGCTCACGCATGTCCAGTAATCCATCAAGGTGAATCAAATACCAAGGGCCGACAAACAGCTCACGGGGTCAACTACTCAAACAAATAGGTCAAGTTTCGAGCACCTTTGGTATTACGACGGTGTTTGTGTGTGTGTATCCTCTGGCAGACGTTGTGCATCAGCTGACTACGAATGGTCGCGTACATGAGCATGCGTTTTTTGATGTATGTAACTATTCGCGATAGAATCCAGAGGATGAGTTTGAAACAACCGATTATTTATTACAATAATGCTCACTAATCCGTGTACTAGGTGAGAACACACGCGTATCGTTCTGCTAGACCTGATGTGCATGATGCCTTTCTTTCAATTCTGTACATGGACTGAATAGGGCCTCTCAAAATCTAGTTTCTGTAGTGTTCCCTGCAGTCTATGAGCCTGTTTCTAAGCTCTTCGAAAGCTTCGTAGTTGTCATTCACTATGCGTATGGTTTTGGGATATAGGTAGAGGGAGTTTTATTGATGCCACCGGCTGCAGCAAACGAGCTCGAAGATAACAATTAGAAGATTATGAGCCGATAGCAATATAGTTTAGTCCTCAGTAGACTAAATTGCTTTTGGACGCGATGATGTCCGTATGTGAAACATTCGTTACGGTAGTGATAAGCCATGTTTATTCGCAAGCCATTACAATCATATTTACGTTAGAAAATGTGTTGGGACCAAACATTTGAGGTCAAATATGGATAGCCAAGTGAGTGGTGTGGGGTAGGGACAGGGAACATTAACCCATGTGTTTTCGACACGGATAGTACGGTCGATCGTTGCACATTTTATCGAGACTAGGCCTCGGATAGATATTAATTTGGCTTTCTCAATCAGTTTCCACATCCCATAAAACAAACCCAAGGCTGTTCGAATTACAACATTATCAACAGCCGAGACAATAATTACCTGTCTTTTAAAGCCATAAATTTGTGTACAAAAACAAATGTTCTGATATTCAAACATCTGTAGTCTGAAGTGGACAACGTCACGCATCCATGCTGTGACGCCTCTAATCGACTATCAGCACTCATGTAACCTGTTCTTATCTGCACAGGAGAACTATAGAGACCATCTTGTCCCTACCCTATTCCTTTGCTTTCATCACTTGACCTCAACTGTTTTACCCCAACACATCGTCCCTCTCCCGGTTATTCTCTCAAACAGATTTGGTTGTAATGGTTTGAAAATGAACTCACCGAAATCATATATTCGTCTGCGATCTGTGTTCTGAACTGAACGATGGACTTGTTTCTTTGATAAACCAATTTGTCAAGTGATCTCCAGAATAACAATACCGAACCATAAATTCCATTGATGTGAAGCAGATAGCAGGACCTGGTCGACCGACGTCTTAGAATTTATACAAACCATTTTAGATGGTATTGTGTAAAAACTGAATAAGTAACGTCGATTAATCACACGAGATCCATGAATGGGACGGATCTCACTGAAAAATTTGGGCGTCGTGCTCATGATTATCGAGTAAATTTGCTTGTTTAGCCACGACGAACGAAAAACCAAAACGCAACAGGAGGGTTGGGTTCAGAAACACTAACACAATTTACTCAAAACTAGTTAACCTCAAAGACAAAAGGAGATACTTCTGACGTAGTCTATAGATTGTCTAGACTGTCCCGTGACGTATATCGGCCAAACGTTCAGGAGCCTAGACAAACGAATGACTGAACACATGCGTCTAACGAAAATGATTCCAAATGATGCATCAGGTTAGAATCGAGTGGAACACAATTCCGTAATCGCCGGTCAGGCAGTATGCGAAGGACATTTCAAAAACCCGCGCATTATAAAACGTGGGTTCACAAGAAACGTTTGGTATACGAAACGCATCTGATCAACGCTGAATCTACGGCAATCAATCGATCGGAGGGGGCAGTTATTCCACAGTTACGGCAACAATTGACACTTATGTATACAAAATAGTCTCGGCCCCACCACCTATGTCAAATGACTAATACACACATTTTGACCTAAAGGTCAAATGAACTTCACTCGTCCAAAACACCTGTCGAACGATCAGCAACATACACATACACGTATCTTCAAATCACATCCGAGCTCTATACGATGTCATCATCCCATCGCCTTAAAATTACTTGTAACTTGAGATTAACCGATCAGGGGACTTGAGAAAGGCCTTCCAAGACGGTTGAAAAGTTGTCATCAATGCCTTGTGTTTTGGTTTTAAGCGCCGAGGGTACGACAAGCTAAATTCCTCAATATCGGTTAATTTTATTAGTTTTTGATCGAACATTTCTGGTTTTCTGATTTCCTCTACTTTCAGGGGTCAGGTTTGTACTGGGAGCTCAGCTAACCGGAGATACATAATTTAACTCAGAGTCTTATTTCTCCTTCAACCTAATTTTTCTGTAAGATATATGGGTAATTCCTATCTCGCTTCAAAAGGGAGAAATTTTTTTATCAAGCAGAATTAACCTACTTTATTTTGAGAGAACTGCTCGTTTCCTGTTTACAGTTTAACTTCTTCTTTGGCTGGATCAGTTCGACAGTTAAGACTTCTCCAATGCAATCATTGGTATTAATGTCGGTAGAAGCACCCCTCTTAAAAGCATTACATGTGAAGTCAGTGAATCATTTTCTTTTAACGGAAATTCACATACACTGGGCAGTGACGGAAAACTCACTTTATTCTGCTCGATGACAGTGGTATTCAACAATAACGATCCCGTGAATTGATCGACTTTGTAATTCACCGATGATACTGGTCTGCGAATGTGAATGACAACAGAGAGAGAAAGAGAGTTAATATCTAACGTATCAATAGTACCCTCATGTGCGTTAGGCTGGTAGAGCAGGAGCCAAATCGCAACGCCAAGTCTCCAAATCCAGTGTTACCATAACTGGATGGATAGCCGAATGGAATTAGACCGTGTATTGCTATTCAGCCTAATAAGTTCCGTTGGTTAGGGTACGTTTTGCATATGTCTAACGGCGGCCTACCTCACCGTGCCTTATCTACAGTGATCGTTGCAGACCGTAGGAAGCCATATGGAGGTCAGCAGATGAAGTAGAGAAGAGGCAAACAGAAATGCACAAAGCGAGTAGGTGGAGTAGATGTCTCTCGTCTTCCGGGTCGGAGTGCAAAAGACTTCGTAACTGAATGGTTGGAGACATTGAGAGCCATATTCGCTTTCTTTTTCCGTCCCTAAACATAGGCCTAACACGTATCCTACTTACACATTCTCACTTACCCTGCATGCATTATGAGTTTGATAGCGACCAGGGAAGTTCGCTTCACTGTATTACGCTGTACAGTAATGATGACAGTGAGTTGTAATGGTACTGATACTTTCCAGTGATGTGGCTGTGGGCGATCAATACACACGGAACTGAATACTTTAACCGGCGTCGGTGGCGCGAATTTGAGCACAATCTTTGAACCGATCGGACGTTGACCTGTATCATTCAACACTCGCTTAAATGAAATTGTCCTAAAAATGCGTCAAAAATCCTTTAATGCTTTCAAAAACCATTATTATCCCAATGATTAGGATATTTGGTATTAAATACAGTTACATTAACTCAACAGATAAAGAGGATAATGTGTAGGATGCAAATATGGCTGATTAGGGACTCACATCAAATCTTTGACATCCCCTTGTCCGATATACCAGTGTCGTTTAAAAGGTATCACAAAACGATCTTGTGGTTGTGGTATCCTCAGCCAACGCAAAGCTGACCAACAAGGCAGTGTCAGCTCGCCCGCTGCTTGTTCAACCCAAATATGGTGTTCTTGACGAGGTGCTGGCAGAAATTGAAGCTCGTTCAGGTCTTGATGAAACGGCATTCCATAGATCACATAGAGCTGTTCCCAACTCTGAGGACACTCGACAAGATGAACTTCCGCAGCCAATGAACTTGCAATGATGGAGTTGTATAGTCCTAGATCGATGGCAATCAGGACTGTGATGCATGGAAATCGCATCAGAATCTCTCTAAATCTTCAGTGATTAGAATGCGGTGAAACGCATGATAAGGATAATGACATTATCAACAATCTTCTTAATTTGAACATCTTATTTGGTTATCAAAGTTAATGCTGATGAAGGCATCATATTTTTACTAGTGTCTTCTCCCCTAACATATACATGCATAAACAATCAAGGAATAGGTAACACTATTCAATAGAGCAAAAGCTGAAACATTAAGATCACGTAAGGAATTTGAACAGTTAGGTGAGAAGACGAACAGTGCGAGAGGAATTCCTTTCGTATACTCTCATCGGTCGCGTATGTATAACACTGAACAAGATAGACAAATAAGGTGAACTAGGAAATCTAGTAAGTATTAATCATGTGTGTGTGAATGTGTACAGTATGTGTGATGCACATGATCGGTTACGATCAGGAGATGCCAAGGGTAAAGGTCATACGCTTTTGGACGCACTGTGTGGATTTGCTGTGAGCGATCGATAATGCCTCGAGTGCATCACACGGTACACAATCACACACACACGCACGGACACTTCATTTATCCATCTTGTTCTACGTTATACGCGACCGATTAGAGCTAGAAGATTCAGTGCGCAAATGCAATGTATGAAATAGGGTCCATTTCAGAGGCAAATATATGAATGAAAAATAATAAATATTCATGATTAGCAAAAACGTGATAGTTGTTGAATGTGTGCACACTGCATATGGATAATAGTATATGATAGTATCATTTATCACAAAATGTTTCCATCGATGAATAAGAAAAAAGTCAAAACGCGAAGAATTTCCTTTTCGATTTATCGCTTCAAGCCTTTTATATATATATTGTTCGATTAGTCAGTAGAAGAATACAAGGCCTAAGCTAATGTTGAATGAATGTCTATGTGCAAAATGTTTAATTGACAACAAGCTGTGGGGTCACGATAGTCGGACAGGGTAAAACCGGATAAAAAATTAGTGATTTGGACACGATATGAAAGGTGTTAATCAAGAATAAATAAAATAGGTGTAAAAGTTTGAGAAAAAGACATTAAATGACGGGAGGGGAGGGAAAGAATAGAAAATGTCAAGTAGAGATACGGACAATTGTTCTTATGGCCACAGTAACCGCAGCGCTTGAACCAAACTACGTCACTTGCACAACTGTGGCTCCATGATCCTAATTGCTATGGGCTCTGCAGTTGCTAGGATCTTCTTACGTAATCCTTTAGTGTGGATCTTAGATGCAAAGAAGAAACTTGTAAATGTTGTTTTCCGGTCAATCCTGTCAACCAAATGTTGCCTCACCAGTCTCAATCAGTTCACGTGTTATCGACACACAACGAGTTGTCTGTCCAGGAGAATATCTGAACGTTGTCCGGCAGCTCGTCGAAAAGGAAGTGAGAATCTTGAACAGATCAATCCCCGAAAATCCTAACAATTGAGGAGCCCATAGCAATTAGGATCCTAAAGCCGGCTTTTCCCTGTCTAACTATCGTGACCCCACAGCTTGTTGTCAATTAAACATTTTGCACATAGACATTCATTCAACATTAGCTTAGGCCTTGTATTCTTCTACTGACTAATCGAACAATATATATATATAAAAGGCTTGAAGCGATAAATCGAAAAGGAAATTCTTCGCGTTTTGACTTTTTTCTTATTATTTATCGATAAGAGTATTACAAGTGTTCATTTTTTGCCGGAGCGTATTATTAACCAGAGAAACTTCTGAGGGGTCCAATTCGAATACCGTAGAACCATAGATAGAAATGATTCCTGGTAATAATTCGTAAAACCAAACCGTGGCATCATCCACCCTTTTGTATTTCGATGTTTCAGTTGCAAATTCCACAATATGGGCATTATGATATGAGAACACACATTGAGAGGTGAATATTGATTTTAGCTTGTACAGATCAAATAAGGAAATGGCATGTTGAACGGGGATAAACATTCCGTCATACAAAAAACACCATGATTAGTTGAAAGGAAGAGGAATATGGGGGGGGGGAGTGATACGAGGTGTTTCACACCCCTTTCAAATAATCACGGTGACTTTTGAATAACTGAATGTGTATCCCCGTTCAACATGCCGTTTCCATAGTTGAGCTGTACAGGTAAGAAGATAAATCAATGAAAAAAATTGCTGGCCTCTGAATGGGTGTTCTCGTTGCAGTCGCAGTTTCAGTTTCAGTTTTCCACAACCAGTAATTATACACTCATGCGCCGATTTTGGCAACTATCTCATGAATTCCCATTTGGATAAAAGAGCAGAGAGAAGATTGCAATTATGGGGACAGAGTACAATAGAAGATAGAGAATTCCCATGGATTTAAGTGACAAGGATGATCAGTAGATGCTTGATGTTTAACAACCAAACTTTGGTTGTAGCTAAATGAATATATCCATGTTGTAAATATGACACAAATTGGTATCCCTGATGCTACGTTTCAGTATATCATAAATAAAAATGTTGAGTCCTCGTTTCATCAGTATAGTTTATAACACCGGAACAGATTTCTTATCAAAAATACTTGTAAGTGATCTCAAAAGTGAAATGAGCTTTATTACAACTCGAAAAACAAATGGTTCTCTAACACGCATACTTCAGAAACAAGTCTTAGCTAAATCTAAATACTTCCTCTTGTGTTTTGCTCAAATAATTTTTAAATAGATTTTTGGCCTCATTTGTTTAAAAATACAAATATTGCCGATTGAGAAAATGAAAATTACAGTTAATTACAAATGGCACAACTAATGTCAATTTGCCGTTTGAAAACATTATTTTCTATGAACAAATATAAAGCAAGATCATCAAGAGTGCCTGGTGCCTCTGAACAATTGAATGGGCTAATCCAAGCTTGATACTCTAAATTGATTGAGCCATTCGCTCAAAGTGATGACCGTCAACCGTGTAGCTCATGAGTAGCGGTTTGAAGTCGCGAACCGAATGTTCGTAGTTTGAGTCCAGACGGGGACACAAAAAGTACACACTCCTGACCAATCCCAAACAAGACAAAACAGCCCTCCAGTGCACTTTGTCGGTTATCATGAACATTTCCACCGCATTTAAGTATAAATTATGCTTGTAATTGAAATGGTAAACTGTACTTGTGATTCTTTCTCAATTTGGAAACCTTGCGATTTGTAATACTTCTTAAATCACAGGTTACTGAATAGCATGTTTTGTACCAGTTCTTGAACTCTTCCAAATTTTGCACAACACTGCAGGAGATGTACTGGTTATATCAAATCCATGCGACAGTTCAAGATCAACATTTGTGGCGAAGCGTTTGGTGAGAAACTTTTCTATTTGTTATCCAGGGCAGGATTTCCTGACTGTTTCGAATCACACAGTAAAACATTTTAATGATTACTGAATCCTTTAGCCTTTTGTATCAAATTAATTTCCAACATTTAGTACATTTTCTTGTATCGATGTAATAGGCCAATGTAAGTTGTTTATAGTAAACAATTATCTGGGAAAATTATTTTTGTAAACTTGGTATCTGGATGTCAGCACGCCTTAATACATTGAAAACTTCAATAAAACACATCTATAACGTGCATGCAACTGATAGGACCATTTCGTTTAACTTACTAAGTGTAAATTTCGAGGTGTGAATTACATGACGAACATTCTGGCGATTTCTAGTGCTTCCACATTGAAAACAGAATCTTGCATTCGTTTAACTCACCGAAGGAAAATGGTTGGCATTATTATTCGCTTAAGACATCTGCATCCGTTTAGGCTAAAACTCCAGTCCTATGCATCGTACCTTTATGGCACGTGAGGTATGATTTCAAACGACGGCGAATCGATTTAGTTAAAGGTAGCACGCAGCACATGATTTCGCCCATTTCATGTATACCATATGGCAGTTTTATATAAGTGTCCTGACTAAACGGTACTTTGTAGCACTCCGTTTTGAGTAGCTTTCTCCAGAATGCACTCTTGAAGATGATGACTTGGGTAAGTGTGCATCAAATCATTTTGTACAATCGAGATGCACGAAGTCAGACTGTTTAGCGTACTGGTTTTCTCTAGTCAGCTATTGTGATAATGGTAAAACTTTGTTCTCCGAATTTCCATTCGAAGGAGATACCGTGGCTGCAAGGATTAGTAGAATGTCATTCGCCGTAGTGAAAACCATTTTTAATGCCATATCGTCTGCTCATCTCCCTCAGCAGCACCTCCGATGGTTTAACAAAGTTAAGCTCCTACGTTAGCCTCAGATACTGTTGTCGACCTATCTAACTGCAGTTGTAAGTAAGTGTTCTATGAAGGCAGTTATCTCAAATGATCAACAAACACAGAACAGAACTGAACTGTCTCCTAGCACAGTGTCAGCATACAATTGATTGAGATGGGCTTTCCCGCTTCTGATGTGAAAGTTGACAGATTTGATCATCAGTTTATCTCTCGAGCGATATGCCCTTTGTTTCAGCCTACATAACCATTTCAGTCTATCAGAGACGAAGCGGTTGGGCTGTAGGTGAATCCTCACTTGAGGGCAGCACACATCATAACAATAGTTGAGGTAGTTGGTAAGGTTCTCACCGAAGACTGAAATATCAGGATCGAAGAGTTTTTGTAAATCCTTACCGCCAACCATGGATTTTAATTCCATCGAATTGGCCATCAAATTGGTCGTAAACGTATCTTAAGTGCATTGTTCTTCGTCAGGATTTGTTGTTTGCATTTACCACGTATGGTAGATAAAACGTTTATCAGACAGTGATCGGAATTGCCTGCTGGTTCACGTCTGAAGGCAAGGCGATAAAGGTGGTTCGTTAAAGAAAAAGTGGTTCAAGGAGGCATCATTTCGAGTGGAAAAAGTAAAAATGTGTAAAAACTCGCATCAGATCTATCAAAATCGCCAGCAAAGATGAATATAGATTTGACAGTTTTCTCCAACATGATTGAATAGAATATATCCAGGAGGGTAGACAACTCACTAGGAGGACAGTCGGGAGTGATGTATAGTTTTAAAAATATGGTCGAAGA